AATCACATAAATGATTGGAGTGGATAACGTTCTGTTTACTCTTTTACCTGGTATCAGAGTTTATTTATACAGTCATCAAGTGGTCATGGTCTGAGGAACAGCGAATCTGGATAGAACTGTCTCTTTGCACATGAATTATAGTGATGTAGTCCAATACGTCATATCCATTTACACATATTCAATGTTTATTTTTTGGTTTATTTATTTATTTGTTTTAGACATACATTTCTGTTTTTAAGTAATGCAAAAAGTGTGTAGACTCTAGTAATATTGGAATATCTGCAGTTTAATGTGTTTTTAGGTTTGATTATTAGGTACAGCAAAGTATAGGTAAGTATAAGTGAAAGTATCAGCACCTTACAGATTTCTTATGGTTTTGCATTTTTTTTGCAGACTTGATTTGATGGCTGATAATATATTACAGCTTGACTAAATAGAAAAAGCAGTTTGCAAATGATGATTTCATCAAAAAAGCTATCCAAACCAACCTGACCATATGTGAAAAAGAAATTGCTAATCCATCAAGTGTTTGTGACATCTTGCAATGAGTATTCTACATCCCTGTGGAGGAAATTCTGCCCACTCTTCTAACTGATTGGCCAATTTGGCAAATCAGCTGACAGTGACTCAACCCAGATAATTTTTAGACAAATATAAGACCTGCAGAAGCAAAGGAACATTTTGATGCTACTGCTCAGTTGGCTCCAAAAGCTAAATTTTTCACAGAGCAAGAGTGGACTTATGAATCGGAGCGGAGCTGCGTGAAATACCTTGGTGGGAGACATAGAAAAAAACCAAACACCTGGCAGGCTAAACTGAGGTATTTTCTCTAGAAACACAGATGTTATTTGGCTGGACAAATCAGTACCAAATATACTACAGTGATGTAGTTCTGTGATATGAACATTTAATTTTGACTTGTTTTAAATGGCTAAAGTCAACTAGAACAGGTGGTTTTTGTCTGAATAGCTGATTATCTTCTATTACTCTGATGATTTATTTAATCTCCAATAAGCTCATGTTGATATCATATCTTTCCTCTACAGTTAGTTAGGGAACTATTACTGATGTCACAGAACCTCTTTGCATAAAATCTGGACTAACCAACTGAAGACAGTGATGCCTGGAGATGCCATACATTGTGCTGGATCCCTGTGTGGCCTCCTGGATGAATCGTAAACCACTCTTGAAATAATTTTGGTTTTCTGCCCTTTCCTTGGAAAGTTCACCACTGTTCCATATTTTCTCGATTTATTGTGTCTCAGCGGGGGGGTTGAGTTCCAGCAACTTAGAAATCACTTTTTAATACAGAGTAGATTAATCGAATTTAGATACATTAATTCTTTACTGTTGTTGAATCAGGGCATTGTTTTTTTTTTTTTGCTTTTTATTATCTTTTAACCTAATTCATGTTTCCTGGTTCTATTTAAGGGATGCTTTGATTTTTAGTTGTCAGGCCTGTGTACAAAAACAGGGAATCTGGAAGGAGGCTAACATTGATGTATGCCTCCAGGCATATCTTTCTGTATGTACTGCACAAATTTTAAGGCTTAGTTTGTTGTCCTTCTGTATTCATTTTAACATTTCTTTGAATTTATTTGCATGGAAATAGGTCTTCCTCGCTGACATTTTTTCAGTTTCTTCTAAAAGCGACTGTATTCTTTGCAGAGGGCGTTGCATAAATGTCATTGCATGTTGGACCCTTGGATGATTTAGTATGACAGACATACTAAAGCTTCTATCACAAACAAAAAGGTATAAATGCAAATTTACCACTAAGCAGAAATGATGGCTTAATATTATCAACTACATAGTCGGCTTTTTGTGGAGATTTTTTATTCTCAAAAATATTAATAATTAAACTCCTTTTCAACGTCAGAAAAATCTCAGAAAGATTTGCCAAGGGGTAGCAATCAAATCCTTTTCCTTACAGAAGAACAATAACTGAAACTGCAGTTTTTCTCAGAAAATTGCCTTGTGCCCTGGCTGCCGTAGTGAGCTGTTCATGATTGTTGCTCTCCTGACAAACACCTCTAATTGGCTCATTTTGTGGTACTCAGCCATACACAAAGGTTTTCTTTTGAAGGCTCCCTGAGTGGAGATGAGGAGTCCTACTAGTGAGTGGCAGAGCCTGCTGGCAAGTCTGTAAATTTGACTGGTCTCTCCCTTCTTTAAAGACAAAATATTTTCTTAAATCATTCATAATACATGTTATTCTTCAGCAGCAGAGGGGACTGAAAAGCACAATGTGAGTCTGATTTGAATGTCTGTTTCTTAATTGCTGAAATTCTTCGTGCCTTTTCAAACTTCAGCAAATGAACGAAGGTCAATCATTCCTTTAATGGGAGGTATAAAATATTGTAACTGCATACTGAACTCAAAAGTAACTTTATTGTACAATTCTCCTTTACACCACAGTCACCTTTCAAACATAAAACAATCGCTGTGGCAAATGTAACACCATGACATTTCCCACTGAATGATGCTTTTATAAAGTGATTGTATTGAAGCACAGCTATCATATTCCATCCATCCATCCATCCATTTTCTTCCGCTTATCCGGGGTCGGGTCGCGGGGGCAGCAGCTTCAGAACAGACTCCCCTCTCCCCAGCCACTTCTTCCAGCTCCTCTGGGGGAACCCCAAGGCGTTCCCAGGCCAGCCGAGAGACATCGTCCCTCCAGCGTGTCCTGGGTCTTCCCCCGGGGCCTCCTCCCGGTGGGACGTCCCCGGAACACCTCACCAGGGAGGCGTCCAGGAGGCATCCTTACCAGATGCCCGAGCCACCTCAACTGGGTCCGTCCCGGATAATTAAAAGTAAATTATAGGTAGTAAACCATGAACTCTATCTTTGAAAACCCACCAAAGAAAGTCTTAATTGTTTCTTTTGTGCTGGTTACTGGGCTCTTGCGTGTGTATAATGCTAGTCTCTCATCTGTTGCACATAGCCTGGTTCTTAGCCTCTATAAATTAGGTTCCTGGACACATGTAAGAGCTCAGCCGTTTTAATTCAACACTGCCATCCACTGGTGGATTGTTGGACAGTGTCCTATTTGTGAGTAATTTGGAATTATATCTAAGAAAATGTCTCCATAACACAGTTGCTCTGTGGCCTTTCAACCGTTAAGGTGCTGCTGTTTGGCGCAGCTCTGAACCCTTGTGCAGCCTCATGCGTTGACAGCCAAGGAACCTCAACACCCCTGCAGTGGCTATTAATAACAGTTGGAGCTCACAGTCAATTGCTGCTTTCTAGGAGGAGAGAGAATAAAATGGCTTTGTCTTGACATCTGTAAGATACTGGAAGTTAGCCACAGTTTGGTAATCAAGTATAAGATGAGAGCGGATGATGACCCAGTTCAGCTTTGTGGGGCAGAAAGGGACTCGGATTTTATGTATTTCATTATCAAAAACCCAAAAAAAATATGCATATGAGGAGGATATTTTTAATTGGTTTTCATTTGTTAAAAAATAAATAAATAAATTGTGAACTTGTATCCTAACAGGCAATATTCAATTTGATATATCTATATCATTTGTTCCTGTAAGCAAATACAACAGTAACGTAGCATATTCATATAATAACATTAGCATATTTTATTAGGATTCCATATGATGACCCAATGCAAAGTTGTGTATTTGTGTTGCTGTAAAGTAAAAAATGTGGAACTATTCAACAGATATGAATTCCTTTGGAAGGCACTATGATGAATACAGTATATTTGCTGTATTGTGTTAATATTACATTGCTGAGGTTACTAATGACAGCGGTTATTTATCTATATTTTCTACTTAACACTGCTTGTGGTCTGCCATTATATTGTACTGATCCAATTATGTTGAATTTTATAACTTGTAAATGTGAGTCAACAAATTAATTTCCTATAGAAGGCAAATACAAACATTAAATTTTACTTGTATGCCATGTGTTCCTATTGCAAGCAACCACTTTCACAGGGAAACAAAACTTGAGCTTTATTTATATTGTCCTTCACTAGGACTTTACAGTGTCACTCTGACCCACTTTAGAAGCCTGACCCAAAAACATGATTTGAATAAAACTACTGTGCTTAAACTTGACATGCTCAGACTTTTCCAAAACTGGTAGAGCATATTTTGTTTTATTCACTTGAGTCTACATGCACCTGTTGTGCCCACAGTAAAAACTCAAGCTGAGACAGAAATTGTCAAGCCAACATAAAGTTTGTGCTGGTATAATTTTTTTGTGTTGAAAGAATCTTTCTTAAGCCTCAAATAAACCTCTCTAGCCTATGAAAGAGAAAGCTTTATTAATTCCTCAATGTTTTAGCAAGAGGACTTGACAGCTCATCAATCAGAGCCTCTCACTGTTTTTATTATAGGAACACAAAACAAGCTTTCCCCGTTCTATTTATTGGCCACTTAACACATTGTATAGAAAAGCGATGAATGTTAGATAATTGCAAACCATTTTTAATATTTACATTCAGATCAACAAATATGACATGATAATGTGGATTTGATAGACCCTTAAGAGCCTTGTTGGTGACCCTGTTGGCAGAGATGACCTGCAGTGTGGAACCCATTAATGGAGTAATTTCAGTCTGACATTTAAGGCTTTTGTTTGCTGCGAAATAGATTCCCGCTGAGCACTTTAGTAGATGACATGTGTTTCAAACCATTGAAATCAGCCAAGCCATTTGCCTGGTTTTATAAAACAGAAAATTTTATAGAAATTATGGACAAGGATTTCAGTTTTGCTCAGAAGATGTAATGTTCATCTGAAGTTGAGGGCAGACATGACAAACTTTACAGGGATATACAATTAGTTTTTCTTTAAGTGTTAACATATATATGTATTTATATATATGTAGGTCATATAAAACCAAGTTTTTCTTACTGTATTGACACAATAGGCATGGTGACATAATGAATCCATTACAATGTATACATCAAGTTCTAGAGTTCTGCTTCCAGTGTACATGCTGGCTCAATTTGACTTTCTAAAAGCTGTTTTTTTGGTGGAGGTTTTTTTTTCTATTAAGTTATTACTCTAATGTCAAGACTTTTAGAACCGAGCACACAGCTGTTGCACACTGTCTGACTGAACTGGGTTACTGTGCTGATTTAATTTCCAGGGGGAACAACCCTGTTGGTTGGAAACATGGTTTGCTAATTAACAAAAATGTCTCCTGGCATTTTTTTTTTAAAAATGACAGAGCTCCCAGAGGAATGATAAAACTTCAGTTATGATTGAGAACCAGAATGTAAACAGAAGAAATAAGCAGTAAAAGTCCAACATTTTAAATTATCCCATAAAAACAAAATTAGAGGGATAAACAAAGCTGCTGAAACAAATCCTCAAACAAACCGTTACATTCCTCATGTAATGCATTACTGAATACAAAGGTTTCAGTGTTTGTTTGTTTTTTGTTTTGTTTTTTTGCATTTGTCTTTATTGTTAAAACCCAACATTTTTAACTGCTTGACAATCTTAAACCAAAAATAAACATCTTTTTTTAAGCGACACAAGAATCACAAGTTTTGAACAGACTTTTTAATGTGTGTTGAGCCACTTAAATCAACAATAGCACATTTACAGACCGAGTCATTTACATTTTAAGAACACTATGATAGACCTGGAATTCTCCAAACAAACACAAAACCTTTCAAGCCAGTTTTCCAATGTTTGCGACACTATTTAAATCAAGAGTTACAAAGGTTTGCCTTAAATGTGTACAATTCCTCCATGAGGTGATAGTTTAGCAAGTGGTGAATTGCATTTCAAACTGAGGTAATGCATTAGAGGGTTCATAATTAGAACATGGCAGCTATGTGGAAAACATAATCCTGCACACTCTTAGTTTAGGATTAGTTTCCAAGTCTTTTTTTTTAGTACACAACCTTCAGGTGACTCATATAATCAATAAACAGCCACGGGCTAGTTCAGTTTGATTGGATTATCTTTCAACTACATATTAGAAAATACAGTACAATCTCCTTAAATATCTCAGTAGATACTTGTGATGGTAATTAGTGTCTCACATCCCAATAATGTGATAAGTAATTTCTGCAGTTTTAGTAGTGAGATTATATGAGCATCAAACACGACATTTTGATTACAGTGCCCCCATGAGGCTCAACGACATATTCAGGGCCCTGTCACACAGTACACATCAGCTATAGATGGCATCTTGCTACCCGCTTCCAAAACCGATGCATTTAGTACAGTCCATGCTGTTTCCTTGCAACCCCACTCATTGGCAGCAGTTACAGCGTTTCTTTTTTTTTTTTTTTTCCCTTTTCTTTATTATTAATTCGGGTTTATTTTGAGCCTGAATATGGCAGACACTCATACTGTCACTTCTGTCTTACTGTTGGTGACAAAGTAAGGTTGTGGAGGCATGTAGCGGGAGCTATGTAGCTCTTTCTCTGTGATGCCGGGCTTCATTTGGCCATAGCTCTGTCGGAGTCCCAGCATGTCTTTGCTTTGCCAGGATCTCAGCCCCCCTGGGCTGACTGCTATGTTGGAGATGTGGGACAGTGACTGGGAGCTGTGGCTCCTGTGGCTTTTGTACTTGTGTTCGCTGTGCTTCATAGAACGCTGTCTGGGTGGGCTGTAAGGATTTGGAGGCTCTGGCTCCATATCCACACTTTCCATTGGAAGGCTACCCTTGGCTGTCATCTCAATCGCTTGCCTGCGGTTGCTTTGGTAGTTGTCATTTGCTTTCTCTGCTAAAAATGGGGGAAATAACAAGATAAGATTATTATTCAGCTGTCATTCTTCAATAACTGAACCATGTATCACATCTTACTGTGCCTTGCAAAAGCGCAGATGCTCCCTGAACTTCACGTTTGGTCATATAACAGCCAGAAGTCTTCAATATATTTCATATCCTAATTTTATATCCTAATAAAAAGATCAAAGTGTTTTATCCATTCAGCCCCTTTTACTTCTTTACCTCTAAAAAAAAAACCCACCACAACCATCTGCTGGGTTACAGAACAACAAGCTTTGATCATCTCACTCTGCTCTGTTCAATTAATCTGAACATGGAAAACTTATTGTACAAATCTGGTCCCTATTTAAATATGAACAAGAGCCCAGAGCTACACTAGAAAGAAATCAACACTCACAGATGCTGTCAATCCAGTCTGATTGAGCTTAAGCTATCTTGCAAAGAATAACAGGTAAAAAAAAAAAAAAAATCAAGTTTCTAGATTAGTATAGCTAAAAGCCTTGGAGATATTTCTGCTGTTAAAGAGGGCCATTGATTAATGACGGCTAAGCACATGGACACACTTTTCAAATTTTTATTTGTGCAAAATATTGCAAACAATGTATCATGTTTGTCTCACTTTACAATTATGTGCTACTATGAGTTGGTTTACCTAATGAAGTTCCACCACCTTAACTGTCACCAGTGTCCTCGTGGACCCATTAACACATGTAAAGATGTCTGAAGTTCGTGGATGCAACATGACAAAAAGTATGAAAATTCAATACTTTTGAACTTCACTGTAGGAGCAAATCTTCAGTAATTACATAAGTACATATTTCTTTAATGCCTAGATTATCAAAATGTTAGCACTGTTGGAAATCCTGACATAATTTCCAAACATTTACATTCTCTGTTTTTCAGAATGATTCATTGTCTCTGAATCTAGCCTTTTAACATTTTCCTTTCTAATCAGTTTCTATGATGGTACTATGATGAATGGGCAACAAAGACGGATGAGGTGTCAATGTGAACATTTCAATGCTTCCAAGATTTTATTGGGTTTCAGAGTAAAACTTACGAAGACTGAACTCGATGTACAAGGTTTGGTAAAGCACTGTTTAAATTCAGGTTTCAATTGAACAGTTTCCAAGTATCTGAAAATCCTTGACCTAGATAATACTTTATTCTATTATCAATAAATTTCTGTATCTTTGTGTTTACAGCTCTAAATCTACAGTATCCAAACGAAAAGAAAAAAAAGATCTAGTGGCTTACTGAGTCATGGAGATAGAGATGTTATTTTGTTCGGCTGATTCTTGATGGCAGACTTTTTAAATTAGCACAAACCTGCTACTATAAATAAGCTCGCTGTTTCTTTCTATTCTGACATTGATGGACTATGGATTAATTTACAAGGACTGCTGCAAAGCAAAGACTCAACTCCAAGGCTTTAAATAAACTGCATTTGTACTTGGGGGGGATGTTGTCTGTGTGCACAAATGCACAGCAAATTAAATCACATTAAAGGTTCTTGCTGTTCACTTGTCTAACACTTCATGCAAGTCGGATGACTTTATTAATCTATGCATCAACATTTTCTTAGAAAGCATGTAACATCTCCCTAATTATATCAAAAGATAAGTCACAGCTGTTGTTTTTTTTTGTTTTTTTTGTTTCACATAATAAACTACTACTTACCCACAGCCTTCAGAGTGTTGTACTTGTTGAGATCCTTGAGTGGGGTCTGTTGTTCATATGGGCTGGTAATCTGTCCCACTGCTGGATATGGCTGACCTACCAAAGTTGGAGACTGGGCCACATTGTTCATCTGATTGCTGTCTAAAAGGAGAGAAGCACAATTCTTAACAAAACATCCTCTAGCATGTCCGGCGGGTCCAGGACTAAAATTGATTCTATCCCATTGGTTACATTATGAGTACTTCGGTAATTTTGTACTCGTATTTCAACATGATTTACATTTTTCTTATTTGACAGTGTCACATTTTCCTGAAGAAGGCTTCTTTGGAGACCCAGCTGGAAAATCTTGACTGGTCTTTGTCGCACTGAACTAATCCTATAGTAGACATCTGGTAAATTAAGGGGTATACAGCAAATAGACTGGTTCCCTGCCTCCCTGGCATGGCAGAAGGAACAGATGTTCTGAGTGTCCTCTCCTCTCAGTTTAATGAAGAATAGTTTAATGTTTTAAATTACACATGGCCCTTTGGGGACTTCTCAACAGGCCTCCTGGTATCAGGTAAGAAAATGTGATATGAAAAAATATTTTTTTATCATCATATTAAGGATAAGACGTGTGATAAATGATTTCTTTCTACTTGGGACTTGCTGCAGAGATGGATTTTGGGCAGAGGTTAGCTTATGCAGACATAATAAAAAAAATACATTTCAATATCAAAAATTATTTTTGTTCAGCCGTTACTGGTAACTAAACAACTCGGTTGTATTCCATTATAGATTCTTTATGACAAGCAAAATTGTTCTGCTGCGCTAACAGCAAGCCTACTGAAGCTGAATATTGTTGAAATTGGAATGCAGACCATGAACAAATAATATGCAGACACCTGTCACTTTATTAGTTACACCTGTTCAGTCACTTCCATGCAGTTAGACATCTCAGCATGGTGAAGACCACTTGTTGAAGTCTAAACGGTGCCCCAGAATGGGGAAAAAAAAAAAAAAAATTAAATGACATGGAATGAGTTATGGTTTTCTTGTGTCAGATGGGCTTGTGTGAATATTTCAAAAACAGCTGATCTTCTGGGATTTTCAATCACAAATATGACAAATTGGTTAGAAGAGAATTGGCAGTCTTGTTTAAGATAAAAATGCAAAAACAGTCCAAATAGGCACCCAATATTGTTCAAAATAATTTCCCAACATGCTGAAGCTCGAATCAGATAGGTTAAAGCAGATAAAGACCACACACAGGTGTTACTGCTGGCAGATAGCAGGAAAGTGAGCCTACACAAGCTCACAAAAAAAAAAGAGGAAAATAATAGACCGACTGACTGTTGTCGGATAAATCTCGATTTTTAGCAACAACTATTAGATGGTACAGTCAGAATCTGGTGTAAATAACGTGAAAGTATGGATCAGGTCCTGCCAGTGGCTGCAGCTGGTGATGCAACGCTGTAGGGGATATTTTCTGACACATTTTGTGTTAGCGACATTGCTGACCATCTCCACAGTTTTCTCGTCAAGTTAGTGTGATCAGTGTACCCATCTGCCACAAAGCAGAAATCATCTCACACTTGTTTGAGATTTTTTTTTATACTTTGTTCACTTTTGCAGCTTTTAAAGTGCTTTTAAATAAAAGTTGGCTTGGCTTGTTTTCCTAAGCTCGGGAATGAGTTCACTGTGTCCCAATGGCCTACACAGTTCTCAAACCAATAGATAACCTTTGGAGTGTAGTTTTAAAGAAGACTGCCACCTCAGATGTACAGCATGCAAGACTGTGGCAATTGTTTGATGGAGACGTGACAATGTGGACCAAAACGTCTGACACATATTTCCTTGTTGAGTCCATAAAGTTTTAAGGTATAATTCCAAAGACAAAAAAGAAAATGGGCTCCAACCTGTATGAACTGGACAAATAAGCTTCTCTGATCCTTCTAGCAGTTCCAGTAGAATAAACATCCACTGGAACACACTGCTCTTCCTGAGAGAGCTCTTCAGAGATTGTATGATTAGTTGGAACCTCCTTTCCCAACATCCTAGAGCAAGTTTTGTCCTGCAAGTTTGAAGATGTGTCCTGGCCTAACACACCTGAATCAAATGGCTAATTTACCTCTTCAACCTGATTCAAGTTGTATAGTCCTGCTACTGATTTAATAATTGTTGCTGGTGTGTTGAACCAGTGACACTTCTAACGTTTGCAGGACATTGTTCCTTGAAGATTGGAGTTTGACAACATAGAGTGAAATTTCTCAGCGAGTTCAAGAACTCTCTGATCCCATTTCCTAAAAATGGGAGAAGTTGTGACTTTGACAACTTATCCTAAGTTGTTCTTCTCCGTAATATGTTTGAATTCCACGTTTTTGCTTCTGTAAGCACAGGAACCACAGTTCTTCTGGACACTATTGTCACCTATTTCCGTATAGATAACAAGACTTAAAGGATGGTCAATAACAAGCTGTGCTCCCTCTTTGCCAGTGTGTCCAAGGCATACTGCCACAGGACTGATGTTACCTTACAAAATTGATAATAAACATTTTTGCCCCAATTTAAACAGGCACTAATCACACTTATAGATCGATCACCTTGCATACCAATATGGTGTTTGTTTTGAACCAATGATCAATGTGGAAATAGACAAAAAAACAACAAACAGTTCACATCTCTTCCGAAATACAAAATTGGGTCTTTTTAGCTAATAGCATTGTGTGTTGCAGCTTAGAAGTTGTGTGGGATCAGAAAGGGTGCCAATCAGTTAATTAACAACAAGCAGCAAGGTTTCACTATTATTGTTGATGTCTTCTATTTGCAAAGTTATAAAGAAGCTGAGTCCAAAAATCTTTGGTCTAGAAAGTGCTCTGATTAAAAACAGATCACTAATAAAGAAAATAGGTTAATTAGGCTCTTATTCCCTTTTGGTCAGCAAGAAACTTTAATAATGTGCTAATTAATTTGGAAAGTCTCAAATTATCAATCCAGTCTGACAAAATAATGCAAGGGACATTTTTAACAAATCTTTCTCAGCACACCTTGACAAATGGTGTCTCCTCTGCTGTTGAATGGCAGCAGCTTCTCTCTCAGTCCTATTTTATTTATTTATCAACTGTCCTGCACATAACTAATTTTAGCTTCTAGTGTTCACAATATGTTTTTCTTTCCATCATTAACCAAAGCTCACAAAAAAAAAAAAATATGTAGGACAAGCCACTCTCAGTTTCGCTTCCTTTTTCGAAACAACTTCTGTGCTACATTTGTTGAGGCTTTTCTCTATTCTACATGCATCACAAACTTAAGTGAACTCAGCTTTGGTGCAAAAAAGAGCAACTCTTGGCTGTAAACAATTCTTGGTCTGAAGTTTCATGATCAACAAAGCCGTATAATCTAATCAATACAATCTCACCCACACTGAAGATTTTATCACAACTCCTGTGACCTTTTTATTTAAAAACAGACATCCATCCTATCTGTGTTAAATTTTCAGGTTATTTTTTGAGTTTACTGACCTGTTTCCATTTCATTAGTAAGTGGGCCATGAACACAGGCTCTCGTTTGGTCTGAGCTCTTTAAGATGACAGTTTGAATCCTCTTTAGGACACAAAATGATACATCATTTCTAAATTATTTAACCAGTATTTTATTCTGTTGCACATCTTCGCCAAAAAGCTTGGATGCATGATTTTAAAGTAAGAAAAATAGTGGCGCTTGTTCCTCCAGTTTCCTTCTATGCGAGTTTTTTATTTTTTATTTTATTTTTTTTAAACTATTTTCAGGTTCTCTCCACAAAAATTCATTGTTATCCTCCTGTTACAATCAAAACTACTGTATACACTTATAAGCAAAATTGTTTAAACAACTACCATCTATTATCAAATGCCTTAGAAAAGTTGTTAATAATAATTTTCTGACTTGATCTTTTTGTAGCCCGACTTGTTTCTGAGACTTGTATCAAATTGTTTATCTCTAATATTTATCTGACAGTGTTGGCAGCTTTGTATCAGCTGTTTGGGGGAAAAGAAGGCCACTTTTGGAGACTTGTGAAGATCGAAGACGCCATGGGCGCTGGAGAAAATAAACAGGTTTTACACTTAAGACACAGACACCTCCCCTGAATCTCATAAAAGATTTAAGGGGGTATTTTGGGATTTGAATACGGTGCAATAAATAGAACAAGGAGAAAGGAGCTCTAATTTACAGGCGACTTTTCAAGTTTGTAATTAAGATGATGCTTTTTTTTTTCTTTCTTCTAGTCAATATTGTCTGACTTTAGAACTTTGCGTCTTGAGGAATTGGTCTATGACTCAGCAGCCTACAGAGCAACGTGTTAGGCATTTTGTTTATGGCCAATACTATTTGGTCAAGCTCTGTGTCAGGATTCTTATGCTGGCTTAAGGGCTTCAAACATATTACCCTGAACTACTCAATCCTTTTCACATTTTGATAAAGGAAAACTTTCGACAAGTAAATGTAACAAGGATCTGTAACTACTTTTCCGGATGGATCAGATCAGGAGTTTTTTTTTTTTTTTCATTGGTTGCATTTAAGACTTGAGGTGCAATTTGATATATAAAACAAAACAAACAAACAAACAAACAAACATGAAAAGTTCAAAAATGGTCATCAAAAGTTTTTAAAATGAGTCCAGGAATGGTCTGCCGTCATATGTCCATGTAACCCAGATGCAGGGGTAGTTCTTCTTGTTCACCATGTCATTATTCTGGTGTATATTGTGTTCAGAAACAATCATACACCTTGCAACTTTAGAGGAACGCAGATGTTGTATTTCATTTGGCACATATTTGGTCAATGCTCATACCGGCACATATCTAGATCAGCTTTATATAATAGTTATGTGCTAGAAAACCATTGCTGCACCGTTTTTCCAAATTCAGTGAGTGCATGTACAAATCACATGCAGACTCAATGTTTGCACTGCTAGAAAGATTGTTTCTTTGTATTTCAGCTGTTGCACCTATTTAATAAGTTATCATTGTAGTGAAGACAGAGCTTAAATCTTTTTAAATGACGAGCTATCAGAAAATTAGAGAAGAAAAATCAACTTTTTATCACTGTTTAAATTGCCCATGCTGAACTTTACCTTACAACTATCTTTCCCTTTAGATTATATGTCACATTTAGACTTTTCTTCAGTATCTTTTCCTCAGTTGTCATCAGAGGTTATACAGCAGTAATGCGTCTCTATTTAGAAGTGAAAAAATGGCCTGTCATACATCGATGGACAGATGGCAGTGAGTGAAGACTTGGTTCTCTCTGGCTGACTCCTGGAGCAAATAGAGACTCCACCTCCCAGCTGTTTCGTGTAGATGGGTATCTGATCAGATGTAAGCATGGTAGCTCTGGAATGGCTCATAAAACCTGCTTTACCGAGGTCTAAAAGACAGTTGTCCATTATGTAAGAATGATGAACAAAGACCGAGCCTCTAAGTCACTGCTATAAGGTATCTCCAGAAAAAATTACTACTCGTCTGTATTTTTAGAAAGCACACCAGTACAGTATTGATCAGTGTGGAAACAAATATCATCTTACCTTCTAACCTCCCAAGAATTGCTGTCGAAAGAACAAATGTACCACTGAAACGCATTCAAACTAACTTCAACTGGCTCTCTGAGACAAGGTCATGAAATCCTTAATTTATTAAGTGTCATAAATTCTTAAATAAACATAAATAATGCATGTTAGCAGTTAAATAATTTATAACAAATCATTTTGTTTTATTTGAATTTACAAAAATACGGTTTGCCTTTACTGAAGTTAATTTTTCAGCTTTCGCTTTTTTTGCTGTTGATGATTGTTTGCAAATAGAACAATTGACATGTTATTTCTACAGCTTTATCTATCCATTGTTTATGCCAGCTGACGCCTATTTACTGCTGTCATTCAGCGAGAGGCGTGGCATATTTTGGACAGGTCCCCAGTCCGTCCCGACAAACAACCATACACACACACACTCACATACACACTCCTGAACTAATTAGAATTATTATTGTTATTTATAAAATATCAGATAGAATTTATTTAAATTTCCACTGAACCCAGGACATAATAATTAGACCAAAGACAATTTTGTTTTGATTGTTTTTGTTCATATGGGAACAGAAATGCTGCTTGACTGTGTATTAAAAAAAAAAAAAATTCAGTTCAATGTTATTGTTGAAAAGATGGGATTTGTACCATGTGGGACTCTTCAACAGATTGGCAGCGCAGATTGGAGAAAAAAAAAGAGAACTCTGCATGTGCACATCACTGTAGGTGTGCGTAGGCGTTGATGCTGATGAATGAAAGAACAAGGCTGCGCTAAAATGCGTGAGGCCGTGGCCTACAGTATTGGCTAAGAAAGAGCTCTAGGCTGTCACTGGTAATTAGTGTCTGTGCTTGGTGATTTCTGATGGCATGACTAATGCGTTCACCAGCCTTCAGGATTTTTGATTGGGTGTTTTTGTTTTTCCATCACTTTGGATTTGCTGAGAATTTCAGGCAAGGCAATCAGATACGCAGAGTGGTGATTATCTAATATTTTTTAACAGTCAGAGATTTCATGACTGGTGAATGTTTTATCTTGTCTTTTGCCAAACTTTCGAAATTATTTAGCATGGCAAGCATAATAAATAATGCAAGTTAATTTTTTTAATAACTGCATGGCAAGTAGATTGATTAATTAATTTGCAAAACATGATTCTTTTTTTTTTAATCCAAGACCCTGATCATCTAACATTTATCTGAAGTTGGTATTAGCTTAACATTTCGTTGAACTTCTAAGTAAAATATTGGCTCTTTTCTAATCTCATTCACAAATACAACCAATTATATCCTCACCCTAGTTTGTACTATTTTAAGGAGTAAAATATTCAACCAGCCTGTTACCATTTTTGTTTTGATTCCGATTAAGAGCTGTAGTTGCCATTTGTATTTTCACACAGTTACAGCTACACAGGAACGCTTGTACAGAGTTCGCCAGTCAATCGAGCATAAATTTAACACAAAATAACATAAGACACCTACACCAAGATATAAAGGACTTAACACTGTTCTGCTCAAAATAAAGAAATAACACACTTAAGAGTAGAAAGACTCATGTACTTGAAACTGTAAATATTCATTGAAAGTAAAAATATCATCTGTGTGTTCCATGTTATTTGCATTATATAGACTTTAAGTTTCCCATCAGTCTGACTGGCAGAGAAGAGACTGTGGTAAAACCTGCTCTTGTGTATGATTATGATGTCTGGACTGCTTTACCCTAAATTGTATTGTATTGGCTGCCTAGTTGTGTTTGTTGAGGAAATCAGGCTTCAGATTTTCAATAAGTGCACAAAGTAAGTTGAGTTATTTTTCTACAAGACAATCAAAAGACTTGATTGACAAGTCATTGATTTTGTTTAATTCCCTGCCAGTTTGTGGTTTTGATACAAACATAATTTGTCTGAACTGATAAAGAAGACTGAGAAGTAATAATGGATCAAAAGCACCGAAAGCATGGTGCTCCCAAACAAATACACTTAGCTCAATGCCTTTTCAGAATCTGTATGGCGGCTGGTTTACTACTTACGGAAATTGTCAAGTGCCAATCTCGTTTGTAGGTTCTCATAATGTTGACTCAGACCAATGTCATCTGTATCTTCTGAAGCAGGATGACGGATCACATGTGCAAGAGCTCTGAAGAGATAAAGAATACTTTAAGAGAGGTTGTAATTATGTATATAAATGCACAAAAAGTCTGTCTGCTGCCCACCACAGAAAATTAAACATTATAAATAAAGACTATGAAACCTCTAATAGTATTGGCCTTCCTTTCAAACTTCTAGTATGTTAGTACAGAGTTCATGGTAGACTCAGTTACTGCAAAGTGCTGAAACCTCGTAGCTGCAAAAGAGCCCAAATCTTCAGCCTACCATCAATTTGGTTGACAATTAGTATGAGGTATTTGCTGATATCTGTCAAGTCATGTGGTTAATTTCAGATGCAACTTAGCAAACTTACAAGTTACGCTGTCGTATTCTTTTAGAAAAGCAGCCTATTGTTCTTGAAAACCCTTCGAAGCCACCCGTACTCAATCAGTCTTTGTCTATTTATTTTGTCTTGTGTATTAAAATTTAACATGCTATCAACTTAAACCTTTAGAGCCTCTTGGGCTCCTGCAGTTTCTCTGAGCAATGCACAGTCTGATCTTTAGGTGAATTTTCTAAGACGTCCACTCCTGGGATGACTGGCAATTGCACAAAATATTTAGTTTCATAAATAATCTTTTTAATTGTGAATGCTGGACTTCAAATAGTTGGAAAATATCTTCTTAACCTATTTAATATAGATGTACAGCAATGGTTGCTCCATTAAGATAATCTGTGTTGTCTTTCCCTCCTGACATTGTGGTAACACAAGCCTATGTTCCAGATCAGAAAGTTCCTTAAATCAGTGCTGCTACTGAACTGATCACACATGCTACTCATTACTTAAGTGCATATGATTAGCAGCACTAGCTGCATCTTTTCTGTTTATATTCCATGGAAACAAATAGATGTTTACCGTGACTCTATAGAAGATATTCTGTTTATATAATGCAACTTAGCTGCAGGTTTCTTTCAGTCTTCTCTGTTCCTAATAAAGCTTTATACCACATAAGTTTGTCATTTGAGATAAGTTAAGTTGTAAATATCAGCTATGTTTCACATAACTATGAAATAATCAGTGGTTGCAAATGTTATTTTATAAAAGCTGTTTTCCCTTATTCTGTCAGTACTGTCCATCTGATTACTAAAGAGCTTCCCCATCATACTTGTACCTCTCTAAGTAAACACGCTCCTCACATATTCTGATTGCCTTGGGTTCCTCTAACTCCATTTGCCATCACCAAATTGTGATTTTAAAGGACAAAAATGTGTTTCTCCACCTCACTGCGCTGCTGGGCATACTTTAGAAAGATGACCACTATAGACATGTCTGGAGCTGTTGTCTCCCCCTCATGACAAAGAGCGTCATTACAAAAAGCACATGATGGCTGGGGAATTAATCAGGAATTAATTCCCCAGCTATTCAAATCTAGTCTCTAAGACCATGTAATAATCTGACTGGTCCTTCCACCATAAATAATTATTACATTTATTTACTCTCAAATGCCTAAGAAGTTATAAAGAATTGAACCTGGTGTATCAAGGATAGCATTTTGTTACAGTCTGCAACACTTCTGAACTTGAATTTTGGGATGCAGTTTGTTTTCATAGATTTAATCTTCAGACTCTGCAATGGCAACATGGGATTTGTCTCCATCAGCTAAACAATAAGTAAATGTTTGTGTAATTCTAATAAAAAATAAATTCACAGGTTCGCATGTGTCGCAAACACAGCATTTGTGTGGATGCAGCATTTGAGGAATGTGTTTAAATTTGCTTTAAGTTGGGCATGTTTTAAAATGTGTGTACTGTAGACTGACCATTAAAAAGGAGTTCATTTTTAGCGTGTTGTTTTTGTAAGAGCTTTAGCAAATCTACATTACATAATTATTGATTATCAATAATCAATAATTATGTAAGATTTGAAGATGGCTTCGTGTTTGTAATTACCACTCAAAAACATTTGATCCTTGTTACTTTAAAGTAGAATAATTCATTTAGCATAGACTTTGTTTAGCAGGCACTACAGATAAAATCAGTTTTAAAATAGTTGAGTCTTATGGCTCTTGAATCTTTGAATCCAACCTCAAACTTCTTATTGAGTCTCCACCAAACTCTTGGATGGGCTTTGCAGTTAACAGTGATTAACTGTTCACTTTTTTTCTTCCACTTAACTTCCCAGTGCTAATCTGTTTGAAAATGCAGCACTCTGAACTGTCAGCTTCTTTAGCAATGATCTTTGGAGGCTGGCTGGCTCCAAATCAGCCTTTCCACAAAGGCCAAGTTTTAGTTTGGCAAAAATTTGGCCAAAAACAGTTGTTTGGCTTTTCGTGGAAATTACAATCTAATTTATTCACACACACACCTATAGATCTGAATTGCGTACCTTGACATATTGTCTCTGTTTGGACGGTGCGTCTTTTCCAAACCGAGCTTGGTGAAAATCCCAATAAGTGCCATAATGGCCACGACCCCGCAGATGACATAGACGATGAGGTTGGTTTTATCCTTGGCGGACTCCAGCGCCACGTCCACTTTTGGCGGAGGTCTGCCGGGTGTCATCCACGGCGGGGTGTCGTAATTCTTACAGGTGGTCTGGTCCAGCCGGGAATTTTTGAACGCACAACAGAACCTGAAGCCACAGGTGCCGCAGCAGTACAGGTAGCTGCCCGTCCTGCACACGAACGGCGGGTCCCACTGACCCATCACGTCGTAATAGCCACGACACTTCTCCTCCGTGTGCGGGGTCTCCGTGGATGCGCTCTCCCCCTCTGCTGACTCGTTGAACCCGGTTACTATCATGAAGTCATCCGCGGTTTGATCCAGCTCGCCCTCCGCGTCACACACCAGAACTTTCACCAGAAAGTAGCCGAGCAGCAACTCAGTCCCTCGCATCGTTGCTCTCTTTGTAAGCCCTTCTTCAAGCCCTTAAAAGGTCTCATAAACCCAGTTGCATCTTCAGTAGCAGTTTCTGCGTAAATTCTGACAGACTGATTCCAACCTCCATGCGTAAAAGCTCAGTGCCACCTCGTACGCTATGTTCTCACCTTGAAGTAAAACGAAAAGATGCAAAGAGGCAGTTAAGACATCCGAAGGGCAGCGGACTGAAGCAAGTTGTAAAGGAGCATCTTTAAAGCTGTGCCCAAAGATATGCTGGAGGGAGTCAGATACCTCTGAGGCAGCCTCAGTCCGCCGAGCGCGTTAAAAACAGACGGAGAGGAGGTGAGAAAGACAAAGCGGACACCGTGATAGAAATTGGGGGAGAGGAACAGTAGGACAGAGAGAAAGAGAGCGAGAGAGAGATAGAGGGCTGTGAGATAGCTCTAATTACAACCCCTTACAGCCCGTTATTATTGTGCTGTGTGGTAAAAATCCTGAGCACAGACGATCTGGAATTCAGACTCATCCAAAACAAACTAAACACATTCAGCATCTTTAGAATGACATATATGTTGGAAAACATATGTAATATAATTCCTTTATATATATATAATTCCTTTATATATATATATATATATATATATATATATATATATATATATATATATATATATATATATATATATATATATATATTTTTTTTTTTTTTTTTTAAAAAATAAAAAAAAATAAAGAAAAAAAAAAATTATTTTTTATAAAAATA